GGTCGCGGCGGTGGGAGAATTGCGGAGACCAGCCGCTCTACCGAAAAAGCAGCCAGCGCCAGGGCGAGATCGGCAGCAAGCGCGGAGCGAGCGCGATGACTGAAGCGTCGCATCTGTCCCAGCCCGGAGGCGGCTCGCTGGCAGCCCTCGGGTACGTGTTTCACCAAAATCCCTCCGCGAGGATTCTCCGCGATCAGCTTACACCCTGCTTTTCGCAGCCGGATGCGCGGCGCCGGCCCCCCTCCGCGCCAGCCGCTTGTCTTCCTCGCGTCGCCGCTGCCCAGCCTCGTCCGCCTTTGATAGACCCTGCTATTTCCGAGCAGCTTCAGTAATTCTCCGGGCGCTGCTTGACAAAGCCCCCGAGCACGCGGCAGCACCGCGACATCCCTCTCGGCGGAGGAGAAAGATCGAACGGCCGAGAGGCATCTCATCACCGAACGGGCAGTTCCCACTGACGCAGCTTTCAAAGACGGCGAGCCGCCGTCACACCTTCATGCACACCGCGCGCTCCGGGAAGGGAGACGCCGGAAAGTTTGCCCTTTGAGCGCTTTGCCGGGCGAGGGAGGCTTTCTGAGCTCGTTTTGTAGCCCAAGAACTGGTTTTGTTTTAAAAATAAGTTGTTGAAAACATCTGCTCCCCTCCCCATCCGACTTCTAAAATAAAGCCCCATCTGTTGGGTTTTCGTGGGAGGAATGCCTCCCACCGCCCGTGGGCTCGGTCCCTTTCTTGAGGAACGGTAATTTTTATTCGGCTTCCCCAGCATCTGTTACAATGCCCTCCGCTTCCTGCGGCCGTTACCGCTCGCTTGCGCCGGAAATTAATTCAGCTTTGTGCTACGGCTGCAAATTCTCTCTGTCCAAAAGAGATACCTTGAACCTGGCTTAACCGCACTTCATCCTCCCGTTGCCTTTCTCGCAGGACAGCTGGGTGGAGGCTTCCTACATCATTTGTATTTCAATCCTCCAGCAAAGCCTGCTACATATTGAAAAGTTCAGTATTGCAGGAGGTGATTTCCCAGCTAATGCCTCTCAGGATCTCAATACCCAAAGAAGAAAAACAGCCCCTTCTCTTTTTTTTTTTTTTTCTCATGGCATCAAATAATCCTACAGCTTCAGAATCGAGCTCGGAGGATCAAAGGAGCCGACAGATTTGTAAACTCTTCTAGACAAGGACCTTTTAAGAGCGCCATTGCAGACACGTTAAGAACACTTGCTCTTTTGGGACAGGAAAAAGCAGTCAAGATTAAGACTAAAAAGAAACAAACCCTGCAAAACAAAGCTCTTACCATCCACCAGCACCCACCCGGCTCTAGAAGGCAGGGGGAAAGGGCAGCAGCTCTTCTGCCTGCAAAGGAGATCGCGGTCCTCTCTCAAGGAAACTCCAGAGATGTGCAACTTCCTCCATTACGTCCCCTTCCGCCCCTCCGACCGCTAAGCTGTACCAGGAGTTACTGAACAGGGGGTGCGGTAGACGCTAAAACATGACTGCAATAGTCAGCAATTATTTGGGCACACGGAAGAGAAGGGGGCAACAAATATGCTCACAGCCATGTTCAGAAAGCAAAATGCTCCAGCTCTAAGATGCTTTGCATTCAAAACAGAAGCCTCCAGCTTGCATCCTCAAGGCATTTAACAGCAGTTTAATTAACACCCAACTCCCAGATAGGAAGGAAAACAGCCAGGCCAGTTTTGTAAGCTTTAAGCTCCAGAAAAGGCGAGCAGAGGCAGGTCCCAGCACCTGCAAAAAGCAGCTCCATGCTCGGGGCCCTCATGCATCCCAGCGTGGGATCAGAGCCGCGAGGGCTTAGGAGCTGGCCAGGGCACTACCCAAGCTGCAGCGCAGCTGCATCCCCCCCAGAAGCCGGGGCGCTGGGCGAGGTGCTACCTCCAGGCCAAGGCTAGCGTTTGCAAGCACAAAATGCCCGACTTGCTCAAGGTCATGCTGCGCCTTAATGGCAGAGCCAAGAACACAGTCCAGGATTCCCAACTCTCTCCCCTGCATCTTTAATTGCTGCATCATGCTTCCCTTGAGGAACATCAGGGCTTTAATATTCGCTCCACTGCTCCACACAGAAACCGAACAGAGCATTTTGCTTTTACCATAGACACAGCTTTGGCCATGGTGAGCCAGATGCCATTTCCTCCCAGGCCCTCTCCTGCACGCCAAAAAAACAGGCACACACCAGCCAGCGTATCTCTTTCCAATATTTTAATGAGTCGCTACATCTTACACTCATAATTATAAAAGAATAAGAATCCATAAAAATATTTTCTTTTCATAATACGCACTTAAAATACTCCAGGGCAAGTTGACGTGGTTCATTTGGGTGGGTTTTTTTTCTTTTTGCCCCTGGCAGAACCCTTGGCTTGAGGGGGGTATGTGCTCCCCTGAGGTGCGATTGCTCAATCCCCCCTCCCCAGAACTGCAGTTCCTGTTGACCAGGTAAATAAAAACCAGAAGAGAGCGTTTGCTGAGTGGAGGGGCAAGGGGAACAGTCACTGACCCGCAGAGAACTGAAGCACAGCCAATTTCAGTGCACGTCTGAAAGCTCAGGGTGCCAGGGAAGGAGAAGGTGGGATCAGGAGGCAGCACAGAGAACGGAGGGAGGGAGTATTTGCATAAATATCATCCATTTCATGTTGCAAAAACCCAAATGCTGCTGTGATCTCTAGAGAGATGATCTCTAGTTGTAGCCAGCTGCTTCAGCTGCCATGCTACCTGTTGGCACAACTCTGCTTGTGAGCGGCCATTAGAGAAAGGTATCAGAGGACGCTGTTATCGACCCCAGCCACTTCCTCCATCTGCTCTGCAAAATTAAAATGAAAAACAGAAAAGACTAGTGTTGCATGCTTCTGTAGAGCTCTCTTCATGTCCCGGGGCTCCACACTGTCACAGCAGGGCCAGGACACAACAGCAGCAGCGATCAGCTCCCTTAGGACTTAACATTAGGTAGTTCTCTCTTCCCTCCCACTCCTGGCTTAAGGCAGCTTGCTGATTCAGCTCTTCCATTTCCAACACAGGCACTGAGTTCTTGCAGGTAAGAGTAGGGGAACTGCAGAGGTGCAGTGGAAGGGAAAAGGATGGGGGAGAGAGAGATTGACACAAACCTCAGCCTCGGGAGACAGACCGCTGTCCATTGATTCCCAGGATAGAGGGAGTAGCAGCAAAATAAGCAATAACAGCCAGGCTGGAGGAGAGGAACAGGACGAGCAGCTGAGCAGGGGCAGACCTCCAGCTTGGAAAGTGAAAGAAGGTGGCACTGTCCAAAGGGAAGGTGCCCTCCACCCTCCCCCCTCGCTCAGGGCAAGACACCCAGCCCGGATGTGGGCACTCAGCCATTTGTGCTCTGGGTTAGATGGCTGTCGAGGGAGGCGGTAGCGGCAGGGCACAGGAGGGGGAAGGTGAGCTGTCAGTGTCCAGTCTGCAGAGGCTTGTGCTCTCAGAGGTATTCTTGTAGAAAGTGCAGCAGCGTGATTTCATAGTGCTCTCCTGACTCAGGGCACCGAATACTGTGTCTCTCGTTGGGGTAGATCTGTGCAGAGGCAGAGACACAGCAGTTAACCGGGAACAGCTTGTTCAGCATTGACAAGCCTCCCTCACCTCAGTCCTTCCCCCTACGCTTGCACCCAGGCTCCGTAGAGAAAAGGGGTGCCACCCCACATCCCTCATTGCACTGGCATGTGCTGGAAGTCCCCTCAGCACAGTCAGCCACCTCTGCTGCCACCAGGCAAGTGAGACAGCAGCAGTTCAGTGGAGAAGGAAAGTTCCAGGCCTGAGGACAGGAGCCCCGTTTCCTAATGCTTTTAGTTACAGGCCTCGTTTGCCAGCAATGAAACGGCCACAGTGCCACCTCCTGGCCACCTCTTGGAGTCAGACTAGGCATTTACTGTAAATTTATAGTGCAACAAGATGTGGGAGCATCTGCCTCCACCTTTCCCGCTCCCCAGGACAGACAGGAGAAAATCTTTTCTGCTTCCAGTTTTAAGGGACCTTCCCACTTCACTCTGGTTCCCCCTACCTGCAACTGGTAAGGTTTTCCAGCCCGGATTAGCTGTGACACCAGAAAGTTGGTGTGAAAAAAGTGCACATTTTCATCCAAAAAGCCATGGAGGATCAGCAAGCGATTTGGCCTAGAGATGGGACGAGAGATAGGATGAGAATCCACACAGAGCGCTCCGTGGTGGGTCTGAGCAGAGAGCTGCAAGTCAGCAAGCCAGAACTGAGCAATGAACAGGCAGCAGTTGGCTTGGCATGAGGCCACAGACGTGGTCTTCCACCCCTCCCTGGCAAAGGGGGTTGGGAGTACAATGCCCCAGCTTGCTGCAGGAGGCAGTAATCAGCTACGTGAGTTAAAGTTAAATGTGGTCAGAAACCATCCACCCTTTTGGGATTCAGCAAAAGTACGACTGGTGGCACCAAGCAGCACCAGGGAGCAGGTTTTTAGCTGATCGCCCAACCCCAAGGGTACTCACTCATTGGGAAGCTTTTCTACGTGTAACGCCACAGAGCCAGCCTCATAACCTTGCTGGTTGTTTTCTGGGATATCCATGTACCGCTCAGTATACCCGGTGTCATATGCCATCCAAACTGTCACAGGGGCACCTGCTATAGCAATCTGTCAAACAAATAGGTGGCAGGAGACAGCCTCAATTATCAAGGGCTAAAGAGTTCAAGTGTTCCCTGCCCTCCTGGAGAGGCAAGGAAAAAAAAAAAAAAAAACAGGCTCCGGGAAAGTCCTGTGGCTCAAACCAGGATTCTTTTAACGAAAAGTGAATCCCCATATAAAACCTAGATACCGTCTCGTGCCATTCCTCCCATATTCAGAACAGGGCAATTTCCTATACACCAGCACTAAAGGCTGCTCCCTTTCAAGGGAAAGGGATTTCCAGCACAATACAGGAATTGCTAGGTGAAGTTTTATTTTATAACAGGCCAAAATGATCCCCAAAAACCTAGTAATTTAACTATTTCTTCAGAGTCTGGGAATCTCCCAATGCCACACAACTTAGAAATATGAGGTGTAAGCACAATGCAGGACCGTGGGCAGGAGCTACAGGCAGGACTGAGGGACATTTTCACTTGCCCATCAAAACCATCAAGCCCACTTCCAACGCCAAGTCATAGGAGCCGGGAGAGCTAGGTCTCCCGAGATGACATCCCCCAAGTACAGACTTACCTTGAAGACATTGGGTTTACAGATAAGACCCATGAGGGAGAGAAAGCCCCCATATGACCAGCCATGTATGGCTACCCGACTCAAGTCGATGAACCCGTATTTCTCTGCTACATAATGTAAACCTTCCACCTGGTCCTCTATCTCGACTTGACCCTAAAAGGCAACAAGGAAGCTCAAGTCAGTGGCTTTCTAAACTTAAACACTTACAGAGACCAAAAAAGGCAGGAACTACATTCACACGGGTAAATATAGAGC